GGAGCTCAAAGGTATTTACCTATATTTCCCTAATAAAACTGAACTGAACTAATACGACATAAATAGGTTGTTACGCAAAGCAAACAAGGGCGTAGAGTTACCTACAATATATTTCAACACACGCCAATAAAGGACTTAGTAAGTACAGGCGTGTCAGTAGTCCCAGCCCATCTTCCTGTTACTTTTGCCGCAAGGCAGTTCGGTCGGGGTGCCTAGTAAGTCCACTCAATAAAAGATACGCCTGCTTGCGTCTACTGAATAGCCCCATTTACCCTATTTATTCGTCGCGTGATCCACGCAGTAGCCCAAATTACGCTTTGTTAGGTTATTTGTAGCGCATAGGTAGCCTCCAACCAAAACGCCTTCCCGACGAATGCTGGAGAAAAATTCGAGGTCGATTTTTCACCAACTTCTCATTTAACATTTCTGTCTGAGGTTTAGAATTACGAATCATACGTCCCCCCAACTATAAGATCAGGTTAAGGCAAGCATTACCACTCATCCATTTCCCAATCCACCCCAATCCAGCCTCTTCAGCTTAAAAATGTTCACACAGGCTAATCCAGATGGTTTCCTGCTGGCCGTTGGTCAGAGTCTCGCATCCAGGAAAAGGGACTTCATTCACTCCGGTGACCTAAACGATCCCATCTCGTTTAGATAACCCAATGGCCAAACTATCGGAAAGACGGCAGCTTCCGGTTGCTTGGGAACAGAACAAATGCGAGCCGGACTTTGAAGCCCCCAGGTACAAAGACGGACGGTTAAATTAAGCAAGAAGATCAGTTCTAAGGAAGGTTTAAAAGGGGTTGGCGTGACCATCACCATCCACCATCAGAGACAATAGCAGAAACGGCAAATTCAGGGAGTGGCAGCATTTAGAGGATACCGTCGCGTTATGCTACTGCATATCTTTGACAATTAAGAGTTGCTCCTATCGAAGATAGTTACCCACTTGTGCGTTAATGGCTTGACGGCCGGCGTGCGGGTTGTGACCTGCTGAACTTTCATTACCCGTGCTGGACTTGGGCGTGATGATGGCTCGGCAATCTGACTCTGGTGCTTACGTCACAAGACGCGTTCGCCTGTGCGCTTCCCGAGTGGCGAATTATTTTAGGCAAACTGAGCCTCAGCACTGCAAATGGGTTGGGCAGGTCATTGCGCTTGGGTGCCCGTAAGCCATGGTTCAAGCAACTTGCGGCATACAATTGTCACACCTCGCGATAATTTTAGGCTTCGTCAAACATTAATACATGGCCGGGTCTCGTCGAATGAGCCGCAACTTGATAATTGGCGTCATCTCTCCACACTGCTGCCGCGTGTTCGGCAGTTCGCGTCTTGAGAATTCTTCCAGTTTCCCCGACGTAGTTGCTTTGTCCGCAACTGCAACAGATCCTATAGACGACTCCAGATCTTTCCTGCCGCGGCAGTGGGTCTTTTGGCTTCATTATCTGACGCCTTATGATTACCAGGTGACCGAGAGATCATCACGTGCAAGTCCGCGCCCAAAGGTGATGAAAGTTCAGCAGGTCACAACGCGCATGCCGACAATGAAGAACTTAGTGCATAAGCAGGCAACCATCACCGACAGGGGGGACCGTTAATTGTCATACGTATGCAGTAGCATAGCAGCTGCATCTAATAAATAGTCCAACTCCCTGTGTATGAAGTACACGTTTCCGCTGTTGTCTCTGATGATGGATTCACGACGGAAACCGAAACGTCAGGTGAATAAAGTTCTTGACCAAGAAATCACATCTGCTTCCTCTTAACCCCATTCATTCTCGTTTAAGCTATATTTGAAGGATGCTAAAGAGCGATGGCGCGGAGCGACTACGTGGATGCTTGATGAGCACTGTCCAAAGTGATGGTTCTACTGTGACGTTGCTGCGGGCGTCAGTCGTCAAGATTTTGGGCATGCCCACATTCCCACAGAAAAGCGAGTGCGTCCCGCATTGGCTATGGCCACAGTGCCCCCGTAAGATCTGATTGGTCCATGTCTTCGAAAACATGCTTGGCTCTTCTAAAGCCTTCTCTTGAAGCCGATTGGACAAAATATAGCCAACCTGAACAGGCTGC